ACGTAGCTCAGGATGACTCGGGATGACCTTGACCATCAGCGTCTCCTGCTTCTCTCTGCTGGAATTACAGCAGCTCTTTCGAATTTGTCCACTTGGAAAGTTTTTCTCTCCCTCCCACTGACTTACTGGCAGCATTTCCTTCTACCTGAGTGGATTCTTGGCTGTAACTTGACAGTTGGGTAAAATCCTTTTGATTTGAATCTAACACCAAGTTAGCTGACTTCCTGCTTGGATGGCAACAGCCTTGGCCAGGCTGCTCTTTTGGTGACCTTTAATACTATATACTTCCTTAGTTCCTGCCCCAGCAGAGTACTCCTGGCTAATGCTATTCCAGTCCTGGTCCTAAAAGTCTTGATTATATTTCCAGAATGACTCTAGAAACAAGATCTGCTGGACAGTATTCTATGATGCACCCACATGCTTCATTCAAATATCCACTTTGGTTTTGGCTTGGCATGACTGCATTCATCTTAAATTATAATGGCCAGGATTGTCCCATGTTAGCCCTGCAACCAGACATCGTGCTGTGTGTACTCAGGATATAGAGGCAAGGGATCCACATCTCCCCGCCCTCTTCCCTGCTTTGTGCCTGGGAATCCAGGAGCCTGACTGCAGGCTCTTTTAAAATTATTTATTTTGCCAGAAGGTGGTGCCACATGCCTTTAAACCCAGCACTCAAGAGGCAGAGGCAGGTGGATCTCTGAGTTCAAGGCCAGCCTGGTATATAGAGTTCCAGAACAGCCAGGGCTACAGAGAGACCCTGTCTTGAAAGAAGAAAAAAAAATGTATGTATATGAGTGTTTTGTCTATGTATGTCTATGCACCATGCATGTAGTGCCCACAGAGGCCAGAAGAGGGTATCAGATCTTTAATAGACTTTCCGAACTTAGCACAACTGACTCCATTCAGGCTATAAAACTCAGCAAGTAGACACCTGCCAGAAATGCAAACAAAGACCTAATCTTTCAAAGTCCATAGTTCTGGGAAAGTCTCTAAATGCACTAACCTTGCTTTTTTGCTTCTGTAGTTATGCTTCTGGCTAACTCTTCTTGTTAACTGATATGTGTCAACCCAGGATATGGTTTTCGTGCTTAAAAGCTCACCCTGAGAAAGACTCAGGACTGCACTGGGATCCTGAACACTCAGTGTAGTCACCAGCCGGCTAATAGAGACTTTCTATTGGTTTAGACCTGTGTCTGAGCAGTCTTCTCTGGTGGATACTCCACAACAGAATCTCCTCCAGTTGTGAGCATCGTGTGGGTGCTAGGAACTGTACCCGGGTCCTCTGGGAGAACAGCCAGTGCTCTGAACTTCTGAGTCATCTCTCAGCCCCTGACTACAGGCTCTTAATGTGAACCTCAGCCATCATCAAATGGTATAGAGGAGGTATCTGGGAAGTGGTGGCTCACACCTTTAATCCCAGCTTTTGGAAGCTAAGGCAGGTAGGTCTCTGAGTTCAAGGCCAGCCTGGTCTACAGAGCCAGTTCCAGGACAGTCAAGGCTACACAGAGAAACCCTGTCTTGAACTCTCCACATTCAAAAAAAAAAAAAAAAGTTATAGAGGAGACCCAGGCCCCCTTCTCTGGTCTCTGAGCTCTGATTCTCTTCAGAGATCCTGCCATGCTGTTGGCCTTCTGTCTGTCTGTCTGTCTGTCTGTCTGTCTATGACATTAACAACTCTAATAAACTCCTTAGTCCTCAGTAATGTGTAAGTGTCCTCTTGAAACCACATACTCCATCTAAAGCCTGATTCCATCAGGTACGGGCGGCAGTGGCGCACGCCTTTAATCCCAGCACTCTGGAGGCAGACAGGTCTCAGAGTTCGAGGCCAGCCTTGAACAGACAGACTCTGCTGTCCCAGGTGAGATGTAGCATCTCGATGTGATTGTCACCAGTCCTTCCTTGGTGGCCAGAGATCAGTGTATGTTTCATGTGCTTATTTCTAGAGAAAGAACTATTAGAATGTTCTCCTTTAACTTTATTTTGATTTTTTTTTTTAAATCGAGATAGGGTCTCAGGTAGCCCAGAATGGCCTCAAACTCTTATATGACTGACAATGATCTTGAACTTAACTTTCCTGCTGTGACATTCTGAGGTCACAGGCCTGCCCCACTATGCTCTGATGTAGCATAGGGTCTCTGCTACCAGCAAGGCCAGCAGTTGAATGAAAGAGAGCCTTCCTTTCAAATACTTAGCTGTGCCTCATAATTTAAACCCAACTTCACTGAAAAACCCCTCATCTCCGAAAAGGTCCCAAATAAACCAATCTCTCCTGGTCGGTTTGCAGCTTTTACCTCCATTGGTGTGAGAAAAAGACGCCATGCTGAGCTCAGGTGGAGGGTTTTTTTTTACTGGGGCAAAGTGAATGGGTAAAGGGGGAAGGGGAGAGGGAAGACCGGCCTCTGGGGACAGGAGTGGCAGAAGAAGAAAGGAGAGGAGAGAAGAGGAGGGGAGGGAAGGGAAGGGAAGGGAAGGGAAGGGAAGGGAAGGGAAGGGAAGG